ACTTATTTATACATTAAGGTGTAGCACTGTGTTTTAATCTAGGATTGGAATTATTTCACTCTCATTTGACATTGTACAAGGTGTATCAGTGCTGTCACCCATGGGAAGGCTGTGGTGACACCCTCTCCCTCACTGACTCTGCCCAAGTCCCTCGTCCGCTGCAGGCGCCCGCACCTATAAGACCGGTTGCGTAGCCTTGATTCTTCAGAAGCTTGCTGAACGTCATCTCACTAGTGGGAAGTCCTCCAGAAGAGGCTGTGAAGAGGAAAACTCCAGATCGGTCCCGAGATGCCACTCCTGAAGTAGAAAGAAAATCAACCCTTAGAAACCAGGAGAACGCTGGGGCTGGGAGGCCACCCTGAGAGGGACAACAGTCCTGACAACATAGCCAGGAAGTTACCTGATCGCACAGAGTACCGGCCGGTTAGGAAGGAGGCCCTGCTTGGAGTGCACAAGGGGGAAGCTGCCAGGTGCTGGGTGAATTTCATTCCCTCCTTGGCCAGCCGATCGATGCTGGGAGTCCTAGAACAAGAGAACCATGGCATTCGTGATGATCTTCAAAATGAACTGTTCTATGGTTTATTATAGTGGGAAATGTCTCAATGATACCCAGGGGCAACTGGGTATCATGTGGAGGAGAGAGGCAGTATGGCAGGCAGAGGAGGCAAGGAAGATGAGGCATGGAACCAAGACTCAAAGTAGAACAAAGCCACGGGGGCCCATTCACGTTCTCAGAGGGCTCTGAGGGCCTGTCTCTCGCAGCCCTGGGTTAGAAAAGAGGAACCATGTTTGGGAATGGACCACTTCTAGGATCAAAAGGTAAGAGATGAATAAACATCACTTTTCCCCTAAGTCACCTCTGTGCTCCCAAAGGAGAAAGCTCTGGGGTTAGCCTGACTCTTCTTTCCTAAACCACACATGGACTCAGCCAAAGGGAATCCCTCAAGCAGTTCTCATGAGCCTAATTTCCACATGCTCCCAGGGACAAGGGAGTAATCAGGCTCCAGGTAGCTCTACCAATGGACATCAACAAATGAGCTAATATGGTCCAGGAGAAAGGGACACAGAGCAGAGTGAAGAAATGATATGCTGTGACCTCCACACACCCTTTGTTGGCATATTTATCTTATGCTAATAAATACTTATTGATTAAGGCTACACAACTGCCTCCTCACTTCTAGGAGGATGCACCATGGAAGATAAATCGTCCTGCTGTCTTTTCTCTATGAATGGATGGGTTGATCATCTTTGGAAGTCATCCAGGAATGCACATCTTTCAGCTTTTGACCACACCAAGCTGTATCTCCTCTCACCCTCCAGAAACCCAGGCTTCTTCCTCTCTGTTCCATCCTTCAGTTCTGGGTGTAGATGGAATTTTCATGGCTATCCAGTCCTGCCTGCCCTGGTCCATGGGAGGGGACTGACAGCTGTGTAGGACAGCAGTCCCTCAGTTCTCATCACAGCTGTTTCCTCACTGCAAAGTGATGACACAGTCAACTGTGCTTCCCTCCAAGATGGCTGGCTGTGGGGTGTCTGCATCTTGCTAACGGGTCCCACGGCTTTCCTAGATCCATGTGTGGCATGTAAAGTAGTGCCAGAAAGATGAGCAGTGGAAAATAATTTCATCGCATTTGTAAGGACAAACTAGTTTCACATATTACTTCTGTGTTCCATGTCAATGTCCCTGCTTTGCTTTTGCCTGAAAAAGGGTGGGATGGTTAGAAGAGAGAAATTACTTACGTGTTTGCCCTTAAACTTCAAAATGCCTAGACTGGCCCAGGGAATAACCTAACTATTTGGGTGTATGACATTGTAAGATATAAAATGACAAATGTACTTCAGAAACAACAGGAGTGACTCTACTGTGGAGAGGAAGGCAGACTTAGGGTAGATACTGACATGAAGTTTTCTGTGGGATTTTATAGGCCTTTTCTTCTTTTGATAATTGGCAGAGATTTAACCTTATACCATTGATTTTAGTTTTATAATTAAAACATCTTAGTAGGAATAGGTACTTATTATCTCAATAATGTTAGGAATACACACTATTAAAAATAAATGAGATGGGGGAAAAAACTAATAGAAATTATGGCCCTGATAAGAAAAACTAAATAAGATCTGTGTCATGAATGTCAAAACTTTTACAGAAGTCGTCAAAGGTGGGGCAGAAAACACATATGATCAACCAAAATTTTAAGAAAACATTGAGTGTAGATTTTATCCCTGTGTTTGCTTCTTTAAAATCTTACTTGATGACATAGGTCAGTTTACATATTAAAAAGAAAAAGCAACATTTGATGCAAAGATACATTTGGATATGTCATGTGGGCAAGTTTTTCTTTTAAAGAATAACTGATTTATGCTGAGTGTGATGGCTCACACCTATCATCCTAGCAGTCTGAGAGACCGAGGTGGGAAGATCACCTGAGCTCTGGAGACCAGCCTGAG